AACTATTTTTTTGTTTTTTTGAAGATGACTTTTCCTTTTGTTTATTCTTTTGCCTTTTCTCTAATAATTGAAAAATATAATTAATAAAATAAATAATAAATTTAAATACTAACTGCTAATAATAAATATAATAAATCAAATTACCCGCTCTCTTTTCTGCTTGTATCGATCGATTTAAATCTGATTTATTTCGGTAAGAATCTGAAACATTATATTTTTCATGGATATGTATACTTTCCCACTATCTTTTGTCAAAGTCATGACCTCTAAAAAGAATCTAAGATAAGAATTATAAAATTAACCAAACAAGAGAATACATATAACTGAAAATATTTACCTAATAATACCGGCAAGAAAAGAAAGATTGCGTCCATCATGATTTACATTAGCATGTGCACTTTCACCAACATTTGTGTTATTTGGTATTTGATTCCAAATAAGCTGATTCATTTTAGTAAAGGCTCCTGAAATTCCTGACAATACCCATGGTATTAGCTTATCCTTTGTCCAAGCTGTAAAAAAACGAATATTTAGTATTTATTAGAAATAATATAATACAATATGATTTTAATAATTACCTACTATTCCGGGTTAACCACATGATTGTAAATCATTTAATATAGTTAGAACTTCATTTTGTGTATTTAATGTAGGTATTAAATACATGCCATTTCATGTTTCTCTTGACAATTGCTTGTTTTTATCGATGTTCCTAAATTAATAATTAATTAATGTTATTTATTACTTTATTATAAAAACCAAAAAAATATTATAAATAATTTTACTTACCGTTTGTAATGTACTTGACAAAGTTTATAAATATGTTGTAGATGTTCAGTTGGCGTTAAATGTGGATATTTTGCATTTAAATATTGGCCTAGACCTTTTTAAAAATATTTTATTAGTATTAAAATAATAATATTACTAAAATAATAAAATAAATATACTACCTAATGCTTGACCTTTATGTTGGTCTGCAATTATACAACCCAATCCTTTTTGATGAATATGATAAAAATTAAAGGTTTCATTTGTATCTCTTTCAATACAACCAAACAAATCTTCAAACAAGTTTTGATAAGCTTGAGCTGTTTCAACATTTGTAAAGATTCGAGCAAATGTTAAAGCTATATTAAATAAATAAATTAGTAATTATAAAAGTTAATTAATTAAATTATAAATAAATATTTAACTTACTTTTTTGTGCTTGA